GTGAGCAGTCCCCATAAGGGCCTGTTTCTGCATTTGTTTACGTCTCAACCTGTCAAGCTCCGAGCCCTATATAAGAGCTCCCCGGACGCGCCCGAGCCCCATGTCCTCTTGACCGAGGACGTCCACCTTCTTGGTCTCCTGGGCTCTTTCTTGATACCTTATCGCCCACCACCACTCTAATATCGATAATGCCTCTCCTCACTTCTCGTCCCCTCACTACTAGCGAGCGCGTCGCTCAAAAGGCCGCCGCCAACCCCGTCCTTGCAGTCGCGCTCAAGACCTCCCTCGATGGGATAACCCACTTCAAGTCCCTTGTTGCACCGACTCTTCGGAGTCATCGCAACGTCCTCAACCTGTGGAGAGATTTCACGGACGATCACGCAGACGATCACCCCGATTTGCCGCAGGAGATCAAGCGCGGAGCGGAGTTGGTGTCAGAAGGTGATCTCTTTGCATCCTCTGTTAAACAAGAATTAACAGCAATCTACACAGGGGTTATGAAGGAGTTTGTACTGTGGCTCGCGATTGGTACGCACGGGATGCTGGCCCCGACCGCCTCTCGCCGCAGCATCTTCCAGTACATCCACACATTTTTCGCTCTCTGGACACGGTACGCGGTCAAAGTCGTGCCGACGGAGGTACGAATACAGGTCAAGGCCTACTTCAATTCGCTAGACCTGTCCGAGCTCGCCCCTCTTACCCGCATAATCCGTCCAAAACCCATCGCAACAGAGCTCGACCTCGATATCATTATCCAGGCGACCTACGATGATCGAACGCTGTTCCGGACGATGAGGATGAAAGTCCAGTTCACCTACGTCAACCTCGTCTCGGCAACGACCACCGAACGGCCAGGTTCGATTATAGAGAGCTCTTCGTACAAAAATTCCAACGACGGTATGGAGTGGGGAGACAAGGAGTTTTTCGTTATTCCAAACCCCGAAAACCCCGAACGCCCAAATCTGGCGATAATCGTTCGTATCCGACTCCACAAGGCGCACCGGAAAGACGAAAAACACTACAAATACTACTTTATCCTCCTTGAGCCCAACGGCACCCGCGCCTCCTGTCTAGGCACTTGCCTTCTCTACATGGCTCTCCAGGACGGCGTGTTCCAAGACGTCACCACAATCGAGGAGATTTTCCGCCCAGCACGCATCCCGACCCGCATTCACAAGCTTGCGATGAAGCCCGAGGTCCTCACGCAACCTGTACTGCGCGCAGAAGTCATCAACGATGACACCGGTCTCGTCACGATCTCCCCGACCCGCGCGCTGAGGGCGGCGACTCACAGCACACAACTGAAGACCATCAGTATGAGAAAGGGGCTGTATTGTGAGTTGAGCAACACTCTGTCTGCCCGCGCGCTCACTCTTTCCAACAGATCTCATGAGCCTCTACTGCTTCCGACGCGGTGCGGCTGGACGTCTGAACAAGGAGGTTAGCGAGACCGAAAGGACCGGGATGATGGGTCAAGAGCCGGGGTCGACCATCTACGGTGTTCGTCGCTCTCTTCCTGCCAGCGCCGTCGGTCTAAATGTTCCGTTCACAGAGAGCCTATGAATCCAGGCTCTACCAGTTTGATCTCGGTGCCATCTACCGCGGGCGGGAACAAGACGAGCAAAACCTCGGAATCACAAAGGTCCGTTCGTTGTCGAGACGATATTTTCCCGCTGACAGTTGTTTACAGGAGGTTGCGAGCATGTCTGCAAGACGCGATGAGCGCGCTCCTACCTCTCTCACCGTCGGTCAGCGCGGAGAGCTACTAAACGAACCCGAACTAGTCGCCTTGCGCGCAGATATCGCCAAGGTCGGTCGTCGCATCGTGATATTGAACAAGACTAACCGTCGTGCAGGTCCAAGCCCAAATCAGTGTCGTCCGTTCCGAGTTGGCATCAATCGATGCCAGCTCTACCGATTCGTCCGATTTGGAGCGGTTCAGCGACGGAATGGCCTCACTGCATGACCTTGTCGGGCGTCGCAGTTACCTGTTCACTGACCATGCTTCAATTGTGAACCGGGAGACAAAGGCGAGGGTCTCCATCCAGCGCAAGGCTTTTTTCGACGACGCGTCGCGTCGCGAACTCACGGGCGAGGTACGGTTCTTACGCAATCTTGTTCTTCTGGGTTAACGATTTCTCAGGCCCCTCCCTCGGTTCCTCCAATGGCAACAGCGCGCGCCGCTCTTGTCCCCGCCGCCATGAATGTCACTGCCCCACCACCATCCCGCTCAGCGTCTGATGGCAAAGAGAATGGCGCATCCTCCCGCCTACTCCTCAACCTTCCGCCCCTCGACCCGTTCGCAAAGCTCGTAGACATTGTCTACGAGTACGCCGAGGACGACCTTACAGGCCATGTCAGCGCATCCGTCAACGCCCTGCTCTGTATGCCTGAGCGGCCCTTCAAGGCGTGCTACACGGGAGAATCTCCGGACGCAAAGGGCTGCTGTCCAGTGTGCCATGCAAAGTGCGTCGCTGTTTAATACTATCTCTCACACCCTGACATATCCCTTCCTTTAGTGAGAAGGAGATGAGCCGTGGTGCTAGCATGCCGGGTTCCCATATCCACGATTGTGTCGCCAAGGCACAGCAGCAGCACGTCCAGGAGTATGTCGAAGCAAATTGGGAGCAGCAAAAATGCTGCTGGGGCGATTGTACTCGATATGGCTACGAGTTCCATGGGCGCCCCGCGTTTGTTGACCACGTTCAACGCCATATCGACTCGTTTCACCGTCATCTCAATTCGACGACTCAAACGTATTGCCGCTGGGAGTTGGAGGACGGGAACGAGTGCGGAGCAGAAGATGCGGAAGATTGGCGCGCCCACTTTGGCCAGGTTCACAGCCTCAATGTGAACAAAAAGGTCAAAGTCAAATTCTGCGCCATTTGCTGCGACTGGTCTGCGCTCATTCACTTCTTTGTTCACGAACAGTACTGATTCAATGTCTTGCAGGACGGTGGACGAGACGGGTGACGGTCTCTTATGGGACGGGCATCTGAACGAACACTATGAAGAGTTGTTCGAGCCGTTCTCCGACCGCGTTGAAGACGCCGTCGACCTGACTCCTATCGACGTCTCCTTTGTCGACCAGTGCGTCGAGTTTGAGCAGGGTTCGGGGTTCTCTGGCTTGCAGCCAGAGTTCCATGGTCATGTACACAAAGGGGTCGCTCTCGCACCCATGTACTGTCCATGGTGTGTGTTTGATCAAACACTGACTCTCGAGGCCCGTATGCAACAGTACGTGATACAAAACCCGTCCCTTTTTGGTGGTTGACTCCTTCGGTGCTTAGGTTTCTCAAGACACAATTATTTGTTGCACACATAAAGTCGCACGACAACCGCTTGATCATGGACGACAGCGTTGAGAATCAATGTCCCGTGCCGTCTTGTGGTGTTCACAAGTTCTCGGGCCACGACTTGCGTTACCACATGGTCGCGTTCCACAGGATCCCTCTCTGTGGATCGAGTCGAGTCGTCGCTGTCCGCCGCTTGAACCTCCCCAAGCTTGACCTCGACCCCGCACTTGCCCCCGTCGTCGACCTCGCGCATCTCCACGACACTGACGACGACGATCAGCCTGCTCCGACCCGTCCATTTGATCTCACTCATCTTCACGACGATGACGACGCGATGGACGGCGGGATGCAGACCAAGGGCAAGGGCAAGGCAAAGGCTGCGGAGACCGACGACGAGATGGACGGCGGCACCCAGAAGAAGGGCAACAAGGGCAAGGGCAAAGGCAAAGCAAAGGCCGCGGAGAGCTATGCGGACGCAGCGGAGCGGCGACGCCGTGAACGTGAAACGATCCCAAAAATCCGTGCCTTTTGCTGTGGGTGTTCTACCGAAAAGGCAGACATCCGTCTCCACCTTGAGGGCACGAAGCCGACCAGCCGATGTCGCGTCAAGAACCAGTACGAGGTCGTCGGTGAGAATGGCCGATCCGGAACCCGTCTAGCCTGGGATTTCTCGGTACGTTGAGTGTCACCCGGTCGGAACCTCGCTAAATCCCTGCCAGGAAACACCCGCAGTCGCAGCCGGTTCCTCCAGTAAACAAGGACGTCAACACCGCTGCGGCAAATGTCGCCACACCTTCGTACACATACGGGACCACCTTGCTGAACCGAATTTCAACTGCCCAACTACAAAATTCCAGATCCGGGATCCGAATGTTCCGCGCTCGACTTATGGGACAACCTATAATATCCAGGAATGGCTGGCAGAAAACGTGATCCTCATTTGCCTCTTCTCTCCTCGTCTGACCATCCACAGGACGGAGCAACGGCGGGCCCATCGACGAAGAAACGGGCCTCGACAGTAAGTTGTATCCTGGCTTGATTCGCTTGCCAACTCTCTTCTCTTCCAGCACTCGGACTCGGACTCGTCCCCCGAAGCGGTGAGGATTTCGCCGTTACCTCCATTATGCTCACCTAAAATACCTTTCCTGGTCCAAGCAACAAGGCAACTCGTCGCCCTAAAAAGCGCAGCCGGCCGTCGCGGATTGTAAGAGCTTTCTAGATTCATGGCTGGCCCGTCTCTCAATATCGTACCAGCTGTCCGACTCCGAGGCCGACGACGACGAGCACGACCATGATCAAGACGACGACGACGACGACGAGATGCTGGAACCCAAACCACCGATTCCGTACCATCTCACTCTCAACGCATCGAGACGTGCAGAGTCGCCGCCCCACCAACAGTTCCAGTGCAATAACTGCCGCCTGGAATTCCCCGATACGGAAGAGTTGGCCGAGCATTTCAAGAAACGCAAGAAGAAGGTCCGCTGCAGGAGCCAGTACTTCCGGAAGTGGGCTGGTGCAAAGTGGAGTACGCGCATCAAGTATGATGTGTGGGCGGCTGAGCGGGCGGCAGAGGAACAGACGGAAGTCATGCAGGAGTAATAGCAATAGAGACGTTTTCGCATCGAAAGAGACAATAACACGCTTTTGACGGTCATTCTCTCGACTTGTTCATTCAATTCTTGACACACAACGAGTTCAAAAAGGTCCTGCCCGGGTTCGAACCGGGGTTACGAGAAACGGCAGTCGTGAACTGGACTCAAAATCTCGAGTGATGACCGCTACACTACAGGGCCGTGGAATAACGGGTCGATGCAATGGACAGATGCTCAGGTTGAAACAAACCTGGCCTTTTTTTCTATTCACCTGTCAGAGATATCCGCTCTTACAACTATCAAGCTGCTTCATGATTCATCGACGAGAGGAAATTATTGTCGTTTCATTATTTGCGTCAAAAAATATGTCAGAGCTCTGCCCATCCACCATCCGCCTCGTCCCCCCCACTAACCAGCGCGAGTCCAAACATAATGATACTTGCACCCAACCGCATTCCCAGTCCACGGTATAATTGTCCAATACCAGTGCTCCGCATCCAGCTCTGCTCCTCGCTGTCGGACGGAGGCGCCTGCTCGGTACCCGCCCGCTCCTTCCCCTTGCTCAACCGCCGTTTCCGCTTCTCCCTCGGGATTGGCAGGTCCGACCGTTCCTCGGTCAGAATGTGCCAGAACGCGTCAACGACGCCGTTGTATGGCGCGGGTCGCAGCTCGACGCATCCCTTGATAGGCTTGGCCGTCCCGCGGACTTGTACCTGCAGCCGTCGACGAACAGTCTCAAAGGGCAGCGTAATAAGCAGGCCGAGACAGCTGCCCGCAAGTTCGGCGAAGCCCCACGCAATGGGGTTGGCATCCTCGCTAATCTGTGCGCCAACATAGGAAGCGAGCAGCCCGGGGAGAATGAAAGAGACGATTGGGGGAAGGGTGTTGTCGATGAGGGTGGGGATGAGGAGATGGGGGTGGAGGTAGATGCCCTTCAGCCCACCCTCTTCGCGAAGAATGCGAGAAAGCGCGTCAAAGGGACCGGTGTAAGTGAGGTGGCGGGAGGAGAAGGATTGCACGATCAGCCGGGTTCGTACCAGATCAAGGGGCGAGAGAATAAAGCCCATTATGAGGTGGGACAGAACAGGGAGGAACATTGGAGGATGGTAGAAGACGGCGGTCGTCGGAAGCAGAAGAGCCTGGAGGAGACCACGGATCATGGGCTGAAAGGTTGATGAGAGGACTTCGGTTATGCAGGACGTCAATAACCCTGCATGCCAAAAGGTAGGTGAAAGCCCAGGAGAAGAAGATGATCATTTTACCTTTCCACAGTGCCAGCCAGCCTTCACCCCGGAAACGGCCCACCCGTCGCATCATGCCCCATACACCATTCGCGCTGCCTACGGGGATGATATACTCCGGGCGGGTACCCTCCTCTAGTACTGAGCGACGGACGACATAGCCTTGCTCATCTGTCTGACGTAACGCGGAAAATCCGGCGTGCGGAGTGGCGCTAGGGTCGGCAAAGTACGAGTCCGAGTCGTTGTCGTTGGACGAGTCGCTCAACTGAGAAAACATGAGCAGCAAGAATAGACGTTCAGAAGGTAACGGACAGCATCATCGTCGTCTTCCGGCACTTCTGAAGGTTCAGGTTCGCCGGCATCTCGGGGAACCCATTGCACCTGGAGAAGTAATTTGGCGACCTCCCATGGCATCGCAATAGCAGTACTGGTGTACTGCAGAACGGCAGATGCCGCCAAGGTCTTGAGGAGGTTTACGGGGTCGATTCCATCTGACGGGTCGGCGAGTTCTGGTGCAAGGTCAAATATTGAGTTGTGGGATGGCCGAGAAGACCATTGGTATGCCGGTGCAGTGGCAGGCTGTGTGGAGGAATTTGAAGGTGTGGCGGCGGCAGACTGTACAAAGGACCAGGCGGAGGAGGGGTCACTGTACAGACCTCGAAGAGACGCAGAGGACATGATGCATTAGGACAAGCAGCGATGCTCTTGCCAATCAAAGGACAACTCCCGCTTTGGGATCGAGGAACGCTTTGGATTCAAAAACTCAAAGTAGCGAAAGAGAAAATTGTGGGTCTCGTCTGCTCTGGCTCTGGGTGCAAGGGAACAGGGGAGCAGGACGAGGGTTTCTTGAAATTAATTAATTAATTAGCGGACAAGGTGCGTGCCTGCAGATACGTCATTTATACGGACCTATTTAAAGGCCACCCAGCCTCGCCCTTACCACCATCTCCTCCGCCAGCATGGCCTCCCCCAACGGTGGCGCTCAAAGCGAAGTCGACGCTATCATGCAGAATAACAACGGGCGCGTCGCCGTCCACACTTTCGACCCAGAGGCGAAACCCTCAGAAAAGGGTGCCGCAGCTGGCAAGGCCAGGGACCAGCTCAAAAGCGTGAAAAACGACTCGGGTCCTGGTGCACGAGGTGCCCTTTCACTTCTGCGTGTGTGTTTGACACGTCGCTCACGTCTTTTTCAGAGCTCACAGTCGAGTCTGGCAAATCCAACGTCGTCCCCACTATCACCGTGGAAGACGTCGACAACGAAAAGACCACAGATGCTCCAGAAGACCACGACGACACTCCCCAGCCACCCGGTGCCCTCAGCGGTCCTGCAGGCGCCATTCCAGACTGGTACAAGGTCGGTTGGCGGCAGGCTTTACGCATGGATGCTGTGCCGCTGGCCGAGGGCGAGGACCAGGTGGAACCGGAACAGGACAAGGGTGTGCTCGACATGTTCCTGGGGGAGCAATTCTATGGTTCCTGGTACCACAATGCCGCCGTCATCATCGTCGTAGGTCCACACGACTGCGCTGTCACCGCCCGACTCACACGTCCTTTAGGCTGTATTCGCTTCGCATTTCTTGACTCGCTTCCACTTCGGCTGGGGATGGCTGTTTATCGTCCTCGCCTTTTGCAATACATACTACAGCGCGTCGATGCAACGCGTCCGACGCTGTGCACGCGACGATATTCAGCGCGAACTCGTCAAAACCGCCTCTTGTCTGAGCACGAGTCCGCCGATTGGATAAACAATTTCCTGGATCGTTTCTGGCTCATCTACGAGCCGGTCCTTTCTGCCACTATCATTTCATCTGTGGATCAAATCCTCAGCACCAACACCCCAGCTTTCCTTGATTCCCTTCGTTTGACTCAATTTACTCTCGGGACAAAGGCCCCGCGAATCGACAAAGTCCGGACGTTTCCCAAAACTCCCGACGACGAGATCGTAATGGAGTGGGGCATCTCCTTCACTCCAAATGATATCTCCGACCTCACACCGCGCCAAGCTGCAAATAAAGTCAACCCCAAGATTGTTCTGTCTGTGCGAGTGGGCAAAGGGCTGGCAACCGCTTCGATGCCTATCCTACTCGAAGATATCACCTTCAGCGGCCTCATGAGGATCCGTATGAAACTCATGTCCAACTTTCCTCATGTCCAAATCGTCGAGATTTGTTTCTTGGAAAAGCCCGTGATTGATTACGTCCTCAAACCTGTGGGCGGCGAGACTTTCGGGTTTGATATCGGCAATGTCTGTATCTACTTTTCATTCACCGGCCAATGTTTAACTGATTCCGAACCCAGATTCCCGGGCTGTCGTCCTTCATCCGCGAAATGACGCACGCTACGCTTGCGCCCTTGATGTATGAGCCCAATGTATTCACCTTGAACCTGGAGCAGCTGCTTTCGGGCGCTCCTCTTGACACCGCCATTGGTGTCCTTCAAGTGACGGTAGAGTCTGCACGCGGATTGAAGGGTACCAAGATTGGTGGCGGAACCCCCGATCCATACATCTCTCTGAGCTTGAACAACCGCGAGGAGCTTGCGGTAACCAAGTACAAGAGCATACGTATGTTTTTTTCTTGGACCGTCCACTTCTTTTTGCTCATTGTTGTATCAGTTATAACCCAACTTGGATGGAGACCAAGTTCATCTCATCAACTCTCTAAATGAATCCCTCATCCTGAGTCTGTACGACTTCAACGACCACCGCAAGAACGCACTCATGAGCAGCACGAGCTTCGAGCTTGCTCAGTTGGAGCAGGACGCCACCCGCGAAGGTATCGAGGGCCGCTCTACTCAAGGACGGCAAGGAGCGGGGCATTTTGAGATATGATGTCTCTTACTACCCCTGTCATCAAGCCTGAAGAAGGCCAAGAGCTGCCTGATACCAGTAAGTGATTTTTCTCAGTGGCCGACCAGCGGCGTCTTATCA